CCAAAACTTTCATTATTGGAAAACCACAGCAACTTTGCTTCACTGTAGATTTAGTGGATTCCTCTGAAGCACAGCCCTGACAAGAGGCAGATTCTCTCTTATAAGCCATGATTGTGTTACCAAAACAGCTCCAAGTTTAGGCCTTGTTTTTCCTCCTTTTCTCCCAATGGCTGTCAGAGAAGTCTGACGTTAATTCTGATTAAAACTGTACCACTTACAATGAAAATTAGTTACCTTTCCAGCTGCTCCCCAAGTTAAAACAACAACTCCAGAGAGGCATAAAATCCACCAATTACTTCTGAACTGTGTCCAAAGACAATTTATTTATCAGTCTGGCCAGTTAAGCATAAAAGATTAATCTATTTCAAATGAAGAGGGAAGGACAGCATAGCTTCTATTATTTAATGTACTTACCTTGTACCTGAAGTTGTCCATTGGCACAAAATCTACCAGCATGAGGTACTTGGCGTATGGGATTAAGCCAGAGACTTTGATTTTGCATTGTGGAAACATTCGCCTGAAGGAGAAATTAAAAACAGCATAAGGATTTCTCTATAAAGTGGATATTGTCTAATTATCAAGCAGCAGGACATGTTCACTCACTATCGTGCAAAGTTCTGGTAGCGGCATTTCTACAGGCCAGCTATTGAGCAGTTTTACCATTTTACTGATGTATTGTCTAATCCTATGGGTTTAGGTGGAAGAGGCACTAACAGGGCAGCAGTCACTGATGGCCTGACATTGCTACTGCTTTTGTTCTTCTGATCCCTGTAACACAACAGTGGGAAACTTCAAATAAAATATTTGGAAATTGCACATAGTTCCTAGCCTTCTGCAGCTATTGCAGACCTGGAGGATACATTAGAGCATTTTCTAGCACAGGTAGAAAACATGCTCTCATCTAAGAGCACATCTAGCTTTCCGTTCCAGTACTCCCTGAGACTGCTTTCATCTTCTGACTCTGCAAAAAAGCTTTGACACTTACCTTCCTACCCAAAGGGATTATTTCAGCTCACAGCAGCTTTGACACAATACGTTACAATTTCACAATTTTATATTCTTTCACTGCAAGCTCCACAATGCATGACTCATTTAAACTTTGGAGCAGTCTGCACGCACAAATTGTTACTATACTAAGTTCTTGTCTGCAAATGCAGGCTCCAAACCAGGCGTTTACTGCTCAACTGCTGCTGCCTATGACCGAGGCAAAGGAAGCTCAGAGAAACCTCACAGAGCACAACAGGAAGAACATCAGTGTTAAGTGCTGAGATAAGAGTACAGGAGCTTTTTCAGCACATCAGCCCCACAGTGACCTTTTGCACTTCACAGTTTGGACTTCTACGACAACCTGAAAGTGCAATTCTTCTACCAGAGGCAAGGAGATGTGCATAATTGGCTAAAAAACTAGTCTAAGAGCTACCATTCAATAAAGAGAGCTCAGAGATTCTGAGCTTGGAGGGGTGAGGTGTGGGCAGCCGTCCTGCTCCCCTCACCTGCCAGATTTGGTGATGATCATCTCAGTTCCTATCTGATGAAACTTCATCCAGAGACCCATGTCTTCGAGGGTGACCACAATGGAGCTCTGCGGGTAGGGCTCCAGGCTGGGGGAAGGAAGTGCCTCACATGGCGCTTTCACGTCTACCGGGAGAGAAAGGAACAGTAACTTTAGACAGGCAGGAGGGGAGCCAGCGTGAAGCTGCCTCTCCTGCCCAGAGACAGGAGCCTGAGGTGCAGTACCCACACCAGCCCTCCCAGTGCCAGCTCCCTCCAGCACAGGCAGCTACCAAATTCCACACGCTGTTGTAACAGACGGGTCCGCACATCTGGCCGTTGGCTCATCCCGTCCGGCCACGGTCTGTCTCAGCCCCGAAGCACCGCGCAACGCGCAGCACCGGTTCAGCTCAGGGAGCTGAATGGCATAATGTCACCCACGAAGGTCCCAGGTGCTGCAGAGAACTAAGGAGTCTGTGCCACAATAAACCTCTTCAAGAAAATTCATTATTTTTCTTCAAAGGCCTTTTGTTATTTAGCAGGCTCAGAAGGCATAAAGGCTTTTCCAACAGGTTTCTTTTTAGTTGATAAGTTCTTTTGTAAAGATTTGTGTGTTGTAAAAACTCAACCTGACTTCCTTTATGCCAAAACTCAGACTGGCAGGGAGCATCCACTTTTATTGCTGTTCTGCTGCGATCAAGATTACACAAAACACTTCACCAAGAGAATAAAATGAAATCTGAAAGGACTGGAAAGATTTGAGGCATACGAGTGGGTAATAGGATAAAACGACAGATAGGTGGTAGCAGAGATGAAAAATCTCTCCAGAAGACAAAGAAGGGACAAACAGGGGACCCAAACACATGTGGAGACAAGAAAGGGAAGTGACAGAGCCGGACTATGGAATATTCTGAAAACAGGGCAGCTGCTCTGGACTGGACTTGGAGACCACCAAGGAGGCTGTGACGGAGGTGGAAGGTGCCTCTTCAGTAGCACACCACGGCACATCAGAGGAGCTGCCTGCAATATGTCTGCACGTTGTATTACAGGCAGAGGACCAACTACAGTCCTGTGGAAGAGGAAAGGGAAACTATTCTGGAGAAACTGTCTTTGGCTTGATGGAACCCACCCCCTCTGTAAAACCCTTGGGATTAAAAACCTCCTGTAGGAGCTCTTAACTACATTGTAACACAAGCAAGATTGATGCTGCCATAGTGAAAAGCCCAGGCAGGAAAAAAACAAAACAAAACAAAACCCACAACAGTTTCATTTCAGGTCAAAACCTGGGATAAAACCAAAAACAATGACCTGGTATAGCTACTGGTGGACTTACTTCATACCCGGTAAGGCTTTACCAACTCTGCCCTGTGGTCTGAAGGACGTATTGATAAGCCTGCTTGAGGTGGGGCACTCCCAGCTCAGTGGGCAGGCCACTTCTGCTGGGGGATGCATGATCAGCCATGCACGGCTATTTCTTTAAAAGGAAAATTTTGCTGCCTCTCAGCCTGATCTGATCTTCTGCAGAGCACATCAGAAATAAGGGAATTTTTGCCTGTTAAACCTTTCCTGAGTAATGTCTTCAAAAGAAAAAGCATGAAAAGCAGACAACTATTTCCAGACAAATTAGCTTTTTTTCAGAAAGTGACATCTTTCCACAAAAAAAAACCCACCTCAATATGAGTCTAAGGGTTTCTTCCAACAGTATTAGGAAGTAAAAAACATTTAAACGTCATTTTGTCAGTTTGTAAAGGTCTTTAGGTGTTTAAAAAAATATCCTCTACCCTTTTTTCTGCTTTGATCCAACATTAATGAACTGGCTAAGAAGTGACACCTAGTTTGCTCACTAAGATTAGCCTGTTAACATCTTCTTACTAAAGCTTCCCCCATATCCTCTTGCAGAGACATGAAAGCTGCCATGAGACGATGCATTCGGTAGCTCAGTGCAGCACATGTATCAAAAGGAGTTACAATAAAATTGGGCTGATTTCCCACAGGAGTCGTCCAGTCACAAATACATGCAAACAGATTTTGATTAGCTAGACAGATGCTCCCTTCTTCCCCAAACAAATTTTACAATTAACATTTTTGTGAGCAAATTCCAATGCCATTAAATGAGACTACAAGAAGGCAGATCTCGAGAGTCCTTACTGAGGGGAGACTTCCAATGAAATCAAGAGGAATTTCAGTGAAAAGAGTTCAATACTGAACTAAAAATCAAAGGCAGATGTTATAACCTGGTTTTCAGAGCCCACAGTGCACCTGGATGAGTGAGATGCTACAGGAGACAAGGAAAAAGAGCTGTGCATACAATAAACACTGCAGCAAAGATTTTTAAATGTAGTCAATGTCTTGCACCTAGCAGGCTTTGTGTGCACAGTCTGAGGCTGAGAAGCAGGATATTAACAGTTTGCAAGAGGATCTGGACCCCAGCAATGGTGCGAGCTTGCTAATGGATCCACACAGCTGGCTAGAGTCATGGGCAATCGACTTCTTCAGCACAATTCCGCAGTGGTGCATCCAGCTGTAGGGCCCACTTAGGATTTTCTTTGCAGAGCCAAAGGCTGGTTTGCATGGCACTTAGTTTAATTCTCTCTCAGTTCGTGCCTAGGTAACTAATGCCAGGACTCACGCACACATCGCCTCCCAAAAACGGCTGCACGTTGGAACTACAGCACAAAGAGGTTTGCGGCAGGGTGTCCAAGCACTGAACTGAATGTGTTTAGATCTGAACTATTGTTTCCTCTTCTATGTAACTTATTTTTTAAGTGTTACCTGAAAGAGATTTAAACATTTTCCAAGAATTTTAGTTCTAGGCTATTTTAAAAGCATTCATAATTATTATCCTTGTGTGGTGGTAACACCGCATGTGGCACATTTCGAAACATACTGCTTATGCCAAGAGTAGGTTGAAAAGGAAGATAGTTGCTATGACAAAGGCACTGAAAATTAAAAGATCTTCAATATATTTCATGCTTGATTTTAAAGTCTTTATACAAATAAGAGCAGTTTGTCCTTCAGTTTCTGTATCTAGAATAGGCTGTACATATTCTTTTCCTACCTTGGAGATGGGAAAGGAAAGAAAGAGAAATGAGAGTCAATTCAGTAATGCTTGAGAGGGGGTTAAGATCTTTGGATAGAAGATGCTAGAGTATAATCTACTTACCTACAGCAGTCCCTGAACTAATTGTCAATTACTGAGACAATGTTATGACATAAGAAAATCTGTTGCAGACTTCCCACAAAGTATGGGATAGGGTTTGCAATACTGCGAAAACTCCAAGTTAAAAGGTGTGCTTCTTGCCTTCACTTATTATTACATATGTTGCTGTTAACTTCCCAACAAAGAAGTCCAACACTAACAGCTATCCAGTATCCACAGGGTAGAAATGCAGGTCAATATACAAAGCTATCTGAGAAATTAATCCTGCCAACAACCAAAAAAACCCTCGTGTTCTTCGATCTTATAAATGCCAGTAGAAACAATCTGACTCTCTGGAGGGAACCTCATTTCTCAGAACCAGAAAGCTTTTGGCAATAACAAAAGTATGATGTTTCTATAAATGCAATGGCTTCACCTCTCAAATGCACCCAGTCATCATCACCTAGAATATTTCTGCCGTGTGGGGTCATACACCAGAAACAACTCAAAAATAAAATGAGATGACTTCTGCAACAATTGGAATCTTTAACATGATCAAATATCATAATACAGCCCGTGATTTTTTTGTTGTTGCTCTTTTGCTTTTCAAGTCAAAATTCTCTTGAAGTGGCAGGAAACAGCACGAATCAGATCAATACACTATGGACTGCTTTATAAAACCCCAAAAGAATGGTGAAGATGGAAATCATCTGAGTCATTGCACATGTATTTTGCTTATGAATGAAACAACACATTGCTGAGGTAGTGAAAGGAAGCTGAGAATACCCAGCCACCTCTAACATGGACTGCATACCTGATCTAGGTAAATAGCTGTTTCCTTCCAATGCAGAGCAAAACGCAAGACTAAATCTGGGTTGAGCTACTGACAAACGCAGTATCTCTGGACTGGCCCTTGGTTTCCCAATGCACATCTGTCATCAGGCCCAATCTGATCACGTCCCACACAGAAACGGTTAACAACATGCCATGAGACAGACTGATGAAGAAAAACACAAAGAAAACTCAAAGAAAATCACAAAAATCCTCTGTTTGGGCATGAACCTGGGGTATGCCTGCTTGGGGTTTATACTTTCAAAGGGCAGAGAAAAAAACACAAGAAAAACCAGACCGTTTGTACCAGAACTCTTATTAGTGATACAACAAATCTTTCCAAACCTTCTGTGGCCTTCAAGCTGAAGGAAGTCAGGGTACTCTGCAGACAATACAGAAATAACACCTTGAGCCTTCAGCGAAGGATCACACTGCACAAGGTGCTAACAGATAAGGGAGTTTTGGGCATAACCGTGAGTAAACCTTTGGTACCTTACAAAAGATCTTCCAAGGCTCACAAAGAACACTCAAAATCACAAGTTCTCATCTATTCCTACGAAAAAAACACCCCATTTTAAAAATCCTCACCAGCCACACACACAACTATGAATGCTGGTAACCCTTCAGGAGCACTTGTTCTTTTTCTAAAATGATTGCACGCTCTTGGCATAAGTCTAGGATCTTTCTGCGCAATAAGGAAAAGGAGGGAGTCCTTTACCCACCTGGTAAAGCTTGCATTTTTCCATGTACTGTGGAGTCCAGGAGGCTGCACGGCTGAGAGAGCCACCAGAGTTCTTACAAGGGGAGCCAAAATAGTCCAGTTCAAAAGCAGGTCTGATTTCCTGAAGCAAGCAAAAGCCCTTCCTTCTGAGATCCAGTGTCAAGAGTGACCGGGATGAGGATGGGACTCCAAGCGCAGCTAGCCAAGGTGAGTTCCTGTTTTATGGAGGCTAATGAGCAGGGAGGAGCTTCTCGCCAGGGCTGTCCCCTTGCGATCCTTTGATGTCCAAAGGGACAAAGAGAGGAAGGATCTGCAGCAATGGCTGGGGCTAAGAGAAGAAAATCAAAGAGAATTAACATGGCTTTGACATACAGGAAACCCTACAGGGGAAATGCACCTTGATTTACTGCTAACGTACTTTTAAACACATAGAGACAAGACCAACGTCAGTTGAAGACTTACCTACAAAATAAAAGAATGCCTTAAACAGCAAGTAGGAAAACTTCTTTCTGGCTGTTCCAAGGATTTGATATAACTTTCATCTCCAGAGCACAGAATCATTTTACTCTCGATTTCTGGTATCAGAATCAGGACTGTACTGAGCTTGTTCCTTCCCAAGTGGGAGATTAACAGTCTGTGGTAAAGTTTGCTCTCACAACTGGGATGCTGCAGCAACACATTCGTTCACCAACAGATGTCTTCTCCACTAACAGAAACACATTTGATGATGTAACATTACTTACCTACCCAACCTCTGCATTCGCAGCCTTTAACTGCACAGTTAATTTTCCTGCTGCGTTGTTTTCCTCTGGCAGGGTCCTCACGGCTGCTCCATATCTGGTCAGAAGCTCGGAACAGAGGCAGCTCTACATGCAGTATCTTTTCAGTTGAGCTTCAGGAGTGAAAACTGCAATTGTTTGATGACGCAGCCATGCCAGCATATCCTTTTATTGGCACTCAGCTCCTTCGGCTGGCACCTTCCAGGGCCAGTGCGAGTGATCCAAGAGTCTCATGGTAGATCAGGCACTGGTTTTAGGTCTTGTTTAAGGCACTGCTCTTACTGGAGGGAAGGCTAAGCAGAAACTGAAGGACTTGAGCATTTTTCCTTAATTAGTTTATTCTGCAAGTGTGACCATTAGCTTTTGTGCTTACAAGTGCTTACAAGTGCTAAGAGACAGCAATCAAGTCTCACGCTTCAGGGCACAAACCAGCCACTACACCTCGGTGAAGAAGGGAGTTCTATGCGTTCATGTACAGGAATGGCTACACTAACATTTACAGGTCAAAGATGTTAAAAAAGAGAAGGTCCAAAGCAGGATATCCGTCTCAGTGGGCCAGTGCTAGATCCTACCCAGCAAATTTAAGAGCTCTGTTCATTTCAAAGAGCACTGCTATAAGGCTGCCTCTGATTCATGGTCTAGTTTTGCTCCCAATAAAATAAACATTTTTTTATTTTGTCAGTGATGTTATTAGGACATCTGATTTTTAGACTGATATGCAAAACATATTCTGAATTTATTGAGTCACTTTCTATAATCAAACAATATCCCTTTAGTTCTGCTTTTACTGTCTTTTGGAGCAGGCAATACAAGGACAGGCAAAGAAGACAAAGGAGTTTAAGGAGAGAAGGGACAGACTCTTTTCCAATAGTATATTGAATCGTAGGCATCCCACTACTAGGCAGGGAGAGAAAGGCTAATGCTTAGCGTGGCAATGAAGAACATTTAAAAGAGGGGCTAGAGAGTTTGAGAAGTCCTGAGGAGGATTTTGTAGCAGGAGATGGTCCACTGGCTCCTGGCACTTTTGAAGGATCGCATCCAGCCTTCCTGATATCCCTTTAAAACTACTGGATAATACAGAACCAGCTGTAAGCTCTTCTCCTTCAGCTAACTTGGGAACATCCAGGAGTCTCAGTACCACTGAGGAGGAGATTATCATGTGGTGGAGCAACATCAACTTGTAGCCTAACTGGAGATTATTTATTACACAGGTGGAAAATAAATTGGAAGGGAAAAGATCAGCTGAAAATGGTATCAAGGTCAAATCTGCACCCCCACCTCCATGTCCCGCTTTTCTAATGCTAGTATTTTAATTGTAGAAAGTGGAAAAGACAACCAGAATCAGAATCTGAAAAGGAAAAAAACAGAACAAAAATTGGGTCAGACTCAAACTAGCAGCAAGATGGATCAACATCCCACACAGTTAGAAACTGCACAACAGCAGCAGCAGCGCTGGGAATTTCAGACTCTTCACCTGACAAGAGCGTGGGATGTGTATCATGACTTACTGCTTCTTCCACGAAAGGGTATGAGATGGTCTCCTGCTGCCATTTCATTTGCACACTGCGTATCAGCACGTCTAGCGAACACACATTTGCTACAAGTACTCAAATCCTTTTGGCTTTTCTCAGCTGATTGATGGAGAAGGTGGAGTCATTAATTATCCATGACTAGTTAACAACTAGCTTTCTCCCAGCTATTCTAGTTGCACTGGAAAGGTTTTAAAAGTGAAAAAAAAAAAAAAAAAGAAAAAGAAAAGTGAATTTGTTACTGTTGCTGGAAAGCGTGGCTAACAGGAGCAATCCCCATGAAATTCATCACTAGCAAAGGAGGAATTTAGCACATTACCCTCTTGTCTGTCGGTCCATGGAGCACCCTCAGGCAGTTTTCTGGGAAGTCAGAGGTGAATGTGCTGGTGTCTTAACAATTCACTGGCAAATTGGAGGCTGGGGGGGTGGAAAGGGATGGGAGAGACAGTGGTTCTGACGTGTAAGTCAGTGACATACACAGCTCTGCTCCAAGCTCATTGACAGCAGCAGGTAAAAATCCTGCTGTGCCTAGCTCTAACAGTAGGCTCTCCCACCACGCTGAAGGGGAGAGGTAGGGCAGCACAGAAGGGAGGGGATATGCAATGACAAAAGCAGAGGCCAAGAACTTTTGCTTTGCATGTCTTTGAGGAGGTGATTAGAAAGAAACATTCACCTCCCCTCCACCGGGTTTTGTAGTAAGGCAAATGTTTTCTGGCACTTCTCCCTCCTTAAGTGAAACTTTAACCCTTAACACTCAACAGGATCCTGTAGGCAACTGGTCTGCACACATATCCTCCCTCATTCCTACCTTCTGTACTGGGAGCTCTCCGAGACAGGGTGACCATCTTGCCATCTCTAACTGGTGTCTGGGGCTCTCAGAAGAACAGATCACGCATGTCAGCTAGCAGGAGGCTTTGGCTAGCAGGATCCGAGTCTGCAAGTGGCTGCGCAGGACCCACCACCTCTGTCTAGGCATAACCTCCAGGACAGCATTCCACCTTCAGAGCAAGTTCAAGTGCGAGGCATAAAGTTACTGTCCAGAAGACCACTGAAATGCAACAGAAATCCAGATTAGTAACAATGATCTCCTGAAAGAGCCAGCCTTGGATCATTGCTCATCTGTACCAGCACTCAGGTGCAGTAGCCAGCAATCCAACCCCTGCAGACTTCCCTCTGTGCACATGGTTGTGAGAAAGCATTATCATATCAGCTTTAATAAAACTGGGCTTAAGCGAACCAGTGTTGCCTGCCTGAGTTTGCACAAGCGAGAAAAAATAACATGGAGAAGTACAAACCGCATTTAAGAGATACTCCCCTCTGAAACATGAGGATAGCCTTACTGCCATTTACATGTGACTCATTTAGCAGATTCCCACGTGGCACATGAAGGCCACTGTCCCAGAGCATCTTGGCAACTCTTTATGAAGGACACTCTGCCATCTGCACGGGATGGATACTGAAAATGTGGAAACAGAGTGTGTCATTAACAGGACCCAAAATAAAACAGATAGCCCTACACTGATAGCTACTTATTTTCATACTTAATCAAAAACGTGAAGTGGCCTCAGACTCTCCAGACGGCTTCAGAATCCATGAATCTGCCTCTTAAACACAGGCTCAGCTCACTGCAGAGCAAACAGGGCCTGATTATGCACACAGGGCCATGGGGAAAAGCAATGTTTTTCCAGAGAAAAAGCCTGATGAAACTATTGCTCCTCCAGCTGTGCCCGCCTCGAAGCGTGTGACTCCTTGTCCTTGTTAGTGACCAACATCTCCTACAGATAAAAAAGGAAATACAAGTGCAACTCCTCAGACAAGTAGTATATGTAATTTTCTATGATGTAGTAGCATAAGGGACAGTTCCCACTCAGTTCCTTACAGCAGCTCGCATAACACAGCATTTTCTTCTGATGATGGGAAATGGCACCTTCACACACACCCCCCACCCCCCACCCCCCCTCCTATTTACAGTTGGGTTTGATTGCTTTTTCCTGGGAAAAGTTGTCTGGTCTGGTGTTTTCAGGCATGTTACATGTGCATTGACATTCCTAGCCTGGGACCCAAGCAAGGAGTCCTGCAGAAGGCAGACCTCTGTAGGACTGAAAACCCCATGCTGAGCCCCAAATTCTATCACCCCCAAATCTTCCCTGTGCTCTCAGAAAGCAAAAAATCACATTTGGCAAAACAAAACAGTTGGTTGGAGAGGGCCTGTTGGTAACAGCTCCACGCTAATCCACAACAGGCTCTGGACAGAGGCGCAGGGTGCTGGGGGGACTGGCCATGCCCTCACCCCCCGAAGGAGGCTGGATTTCAGCAGTGACTGCATCTGTTTTGGAAGGGAATGCATGAAAGCGGCTCCAGTAAGAGAAAAGTTGTACGTTACAAGTTTGACACACGACTTTTCCTCTTGCAGGTTTGTGTATCGGGCGGCAAAGCCGTGCTCCTGAACTAAAGAAAAAAGAGGATGCTCTTCTGTCTGCCCTTTATCATATCCGCCCTCCCCAGCCCTCCTGGAATATGCACCCGCTTCTCCCAGCAGTTAGCACTGAGACAAGAAGGGAAATACTTAGCAGCCACTTAACACTGAAGGCCGAGTTTGCCCTCAAAGGCTGCAGTCCAGAGTCAAATGCAAAATATTTCTGTCTAGAGCTCTTTCAAGTCTTCCCAGACTCCTGATGTTAGGTGCAGTGCTTTCCTGTCAACCCATTGTGTTTCCCAGACACAGCTCAGGGCTCTGTCCCCCTCAAATCCACAAACAGCTCGTACTGAAAGGGCTTTACAGCAGCGAGAACAGCTTCGTAACCCAGCACAGGACAGGACAGAGCACCACCACGCTGCAAGCCTGCCCT